TTACGCCATATGGATACCGGAGGGGCCAGCACCAATGACTGCTATTTTGTCTTGTTTAGATTTAGGGCCTTTGATCCTCGGGAATGGTGTTGGCGAGCATCCGTCTGTTTGTGTGTTGGAAGGTTTTGTGTAAGAGAATAAACAAATAATGAAACTGATTAGCGGACGTGGATTGCCGAGTAACCAAAACATCCGTTTGAAAGAAAGAAACAAACAAAGGAAACAAAGAAAGAAAGACATTTAAGACAAAATTTCTTCTCACAACACAAAATATTTTACCCTAATTATAAAGATATGACATGATTACCGAAGCATATATAACATTTATCTTTTGAATTTGAAAAATAAGTAAAAATTACACAGAAAAATGAAAAAGGATGAAAATGAACTCCGGAAATATTTACATGGAAACACTTCTAAATGTTGCAGGAAACAAGACCACATATTGGTATTGGTGAGTTTATGAACCGGGATAATTAAACAACAATTATAATGACGAAAATTTATCTTATTAATTTGTTCTGCTAATTACTTCATCAAATATACATTTTGAATTTTCATTCTTTGATAAAATTGTATTGAGTACAAACACTACAACTCAACCTTTAAGTATAAGTTTGGTGATACAACAGTTCATTGCATAGATAATGTTTCATAACAGGATTTTTGCGTGATTACATTGTCAAAATAATGGAAATCCGCTTAATATCACAGTGTCACGATGTCTTAATGATATTGCACTATATAAATAAACAAAATAGACTCTTTCTATATATTATGGCATATATGACATTGTATATGGAGAGAGAGAGAGAGAGAGAGAGAGAGAGAGAGAGAGAGAGAGAGAGAGAGAGAGAGAGAGAGAGAGAGAGAGAGAGAGAGAGAGAGAGAGAGAGAGAGAGAGAGAGAGAGAGAGAGAGAGAGAGAGAGAGAGAGAGAGAGAGAGAGAGAGAGAGAGAGGGGGGGGGGAGAGAGAAAGGGAGAAGGGGCTTTTGCATATACTCATATGTATATCAAAGATGGTAAGTAAACAATAAATAAAAAAATGAAATCTAACCCGACTCATGCGACAATCGTCATTGTTGAAACTTGAAACAATATTCATTACAACTTCCCAGAATGCCGTGTCAGTATTGTCTTTCACCGCCTCCTTCCTGTCGATCCTTGGTTACAACTTCCCAGAATGCCGTGTCAGTATTGTCTTTCACCGTCTCCTTCCTATTGGTCCTATAATTTATATAACACCCATTTACCGCCCGAGTCAGGTAAAACCACAAATCAAATTTCATTTCTTGTCAATGTATACATTATTACTCATAACTATTTCGATTGACCAGTTTTATGACAGAAGACAGAAAAATATGTTGAAATCAGGAGAGACTGGGTTGAATGGTTAGAAGAGTAGAATCAAAATTTGTTAGTATCTCTAATGTATTACTGTGTGGTTTTTTTAATATTAAATAATGTAGTTTTAAGCATTGATCAGCGTAATTGTTACATACAAGAAAGAAATGATATGCAGTTTTGAAAGGACTGCCATACAGACAGTATACATTATTAATCAAATTAACATTACAATAAACCTTGATTTAGAGTGCTCGGCGTTGCGTACAAGATGTTATATTTTCGGTCAATTATAAGACAGTAGAAGAGAATTAGTATATTTCTAAAGTTACGAAGGCAATTTGGAAATCCCGAATATGCTACGCTTTGTCAGATTCCTTTGTCTAACATAGTGTAGAGGGAAAAATGCACGAACTTCTGAGGCGCAAACGGTAATTAGTTATGAAATAATCGTTGGCATTCCGAAGTGTTTCGTCTATACAGATCTCAGAATGTTGCTTACATGTATATGTTCAAAAATACCTTCACACGCGAAAACGTCAGCAATTGATATTTTGTTTGGTCGCACTGGTTGTAACTATTGTATCTTAATATCTATTTCTGATATATCTTTTGTATTATGTTATAGTAATTATGTGTTTTAACATTTGTGTTGATAACATTTTAACTCTCTCATATATACGTACTTTTGAAAAGCTTTCATAATTACCTTATACCCTCATAGCAACGTTGTGTTATCATAGTTACATAAGGGTGAGTTGTCGGTTCGTCGTACCCTCATAGGAACATTATGTTGTCATAGTTACATGAAGGCGAATTGTCGTTCCGTCGTACCCTCAAAGGAACATTGTGTTGTCATAGTTACATAAAGGCGAATTGTTGTTCCGTCGTACCCTCACAGTAAAAGCGATGATCGTTATCATTTTCAATAATTTTATCTAAACATGCTTTTTTGTTTCTTTGTTTGTTTTTGTTTTGTTTTGTTTTTAAGCTACATTCACCGAAATAAGTGCATTCAACTTACCTACTGACTATACTGTGGCGTAAACAGACAACAGAGCGATAAGAACAAGTATCTGTTTAATGAAGATTAAATATGCTGGTAAGTGCTGGACAGTCAAACAGGAGTAAAACATGACAAATCGATTATATCAACCAGAGTCACGCAAATGTAAGGTATTTCCCAGGGAAAATGCTTCTTAATATGTTAAAAATTATTTCCAGTTCGAAATTCGAATATTTACCTGTGATATGATAGTAATAGTCTGCAACTTTTATCTATTTGGGGTAATTTTTTCCCAATATATCATTATCTGTGTTTTTGTATATCATATGATTTATATTGTCTATATTTAATTTTGTATGTGAGTGCACCGATTCTTAGTCGTAAGGCTGTCCGCAAACTCTTCAACACAAATAATTCAATCATGACATGTCGTATGGATTTGAATTGAAATCCCTCACTGATTGAAATATTCTAAAAAAAAATCACGGTCTACTTTTGATCAACTTTGAATTTCAAGACATTTTAGTTAATCACAGAAATAATATGACATCCCACTGAATCAGAGATATATGTAATTTTGATAATTGAAAAAATAGAGGTAAATTAGATATTGAATAAATCTTAAGTTATTGTAGAAGTTGTAAAGGTATAAACAAATTTACCTGGACACTTTGTACCGCTACACGTGTCGTCCCCATGGTCGACGCTGTAAACTGTGCGGACCAGTAATATTTATAGCAAACCTATTGGTTTCCTTGTGATTACAGAGATGGAACACCTGAAGGTATACGTAAACATTTGTGAATTGTATCAAGCGTGCGTTACCTGTATTGTTACGTGTACTGATTACGTCATATTATGTGGGTTCACTCAGGTGAATACCGCTGACCGTCCCTGGTTTCATCTCTGGGAGAGCGGTCCAGCGAAGAATATTCAGGTGAGAGCAATGACAGGTAAGCACTCGGTGACGTGAGGGGACCAGTGGACCGGAACGGCAGAGGGCTGACGTCGGCGGGCGCACGAGTTGTCGCCGGGTACGCCGTAGCGGCGTTTGGGAATGCCGGAGCCTCTGCGTTGCTATCCTCACGGCACCGAGTGACTAACTACATAGATATCTTTGGGTGCCCACATAATAGGACACACTGCCCTCATCCTGTTGCCACTGGTCTTTTAACTGTTTTGCGAATAAACTGTGTATTTGTCAGAATTTCTACGCCAGAACCCGGAAGGACAACGGTGGACCACTGACAGTAAACCGTTACGGTATCAACATCTTGGTTCGGCTTCAAAATTGGTTACAGAACAATCCCCATAAAGTATTAATGTACAAAGGACCATATGAGTATCAATAAAAAAACAAACTATCAGTTACGTTCTTAATGAAATTGTCACAATGATTCAATGTAAAATGTTAATAACAGATTCAGGATCATTCTACTAGCAACGAATATCTACGCTAAGATGAAGTTTACAGTGTAGATGTCCTGGCAGCCGACTCGGTTAAACTTCCTAAAAATAGCCTTCAGATACAGCACCACTAGAGCATCGTTTGGAAACGTCATACGCGCGCACAGTGATTTTTGATAATTAGACTAAAGAATCTTACAAAGAGGCACCAGAAAACAGGGGAGGTAATTCATACATAAATTGATACAGATCAATATTAACTGTATTTATTGTGAAACAATTTCAAAAGAAGATCATGTTAATCACTCTTGTTGGTCCAGATTGAAGGTCGCGAAAGGTTTTACTATGTGAGGAATCCGAAGTACTCTAGGGAATCTATAAGGTCAGTCAGATGACCCCCGTTTAAACCTATTGTATACATCTTGTATCAGTTATCTCGCGTCAAAAGAAGTTGACCTTGTAAAATCGTACTCTAACGTATACCGGACATGTCCCATTCTCTCTTTACTATATTTAGGACATGCCTTAGGAATGAACTGTTCTCTGTTTTATCAGTACATAAGTTGTGGAAAACACACGTGAACAAACTGTTCTATCAGTATATAAATTCTTACAGTACCTATAGTTGTCACATACCCACCAGGACAGACTGTTCCCAATACTTGCAGTACCTATAGTTGTCACATACCACCAGGACAGACTGTCCGCCGTTCTTTCTGTACCTAAATTTATTCTATACCCACGGGGCATATGAGATGTGACCTATAAAGATCTTTTCCAAGTAATAGCTATAACACACTGTAACTGTCAAATCCAAAATGGTTGCCTGCCGGCCATATTGTTTTTTATCAGTACTAAATTGGAGGACATGTATGTATGTGTATATATATGAAAGATCCCTCCAGCGCTTCTTAAGGATAAACGATAAATTGTTATGGTCAAAATGTAAGTGGTTGCCTGCTAGTCACTTTATTTTATCACTTATCAGGGCCCAAAGGAAACTTGTCACAAGAACAGTTTATGATCAATACAATGGGCAACTGGAGCAGTCCACCATCATTCTAACTCAGACCAATAATAACATATACAAATAGTTTGGTATTCTTTTATCCATATCTTACGATGTTCACAAAATTTTGTTTCATTAAATACCCTAAACAGTAACAAGTCAGAACCGGTATTGACAGTCAACAGTTTCATAAAGTAAGCACAATTGACATCCACAAACGACAAACAACTATAATTAAATCTTAGTTTTTTTTATTATTTCATTATTGGTCAGAAACCGTATAAAACACATTTTTTTGTAAATTCTATTTCCAGTACGTAACAAAAGTTCCATTAATATCAAATACCTCTGTTGGCCGTTTACCCTGGAAGACTAAGGGCACTGTCTCTTGTGTATCATATTAACATAAAATTTAATTAAAATTCATAAATTACCAGGTAATTAGAAGCATTTTATTTTTCGTTTAAATTCAATTATTATTTGTAATTGAACATCTTTGATTAAAATTACAGAATTCTTAAAACGGTTAGAAAATTTATTACAATACTTGAATATTTTTAATGATATTTGATTCTCTCAATAAGAAATTTTTCACATATGTTCAGAATCTATTATTACTGCCCATTTAATTCATGATCATTTTGAATAAAAAACCAAAGCTATAGAAGTTCCAATTCTAATTCGCTAATGGTGAAATCTTGACAAACATGTATTGAAATGATGCTGCCTGGAAATTTACTTCAGTTGGCCCTTCCAACGATAACATGATAACTACTAGTACAGACAATCAGATCAGCCAAGAACGAGAGTCACATGGCCCCTAGTTAGTACTGATAAGTATGGCAAATCTGCCTGGAGGTACTAGAAAAATGGTAAAACAGTCCCTTGACCCAGTGAGCCAAACAAGGTTTAAAGAGGTTACATTTATAAAATATCAACAAATATATACAGCATTAAAACATTTTCACTCATCCAAACACATTCTCTCCATCTTCCTTTCTGATTATCTCCCTTAGTAAGACACTTTAAATCCTATGAATTTTTTACAATGAAATGAAGGAAAATACTATGAAATATCAACAAATGGTTACTTAAATATGACTAAAAATCAATTTGTTGGGATCTGCTGAGGTCACATAATTAATCGATTTGTCAAGGACTATATAACAAAACAATGGGTTTTATTTCATTTTTAAATAAGACTTAGTTCAGTATTATAAATGTAACTTATGTGGATAAAAACAATAAGTAGACAATCAGGTATAAAATATCTGTGAGGTCAACTGTAACTGACCTTCAGTCTAAACATAAGAGACCATTTTCTAAGAAAAAAAATTCATTTTGCCTTTCATCGTGCAAGAAAACTGACCCCATTTCATCAATTGATCCCTTATAAATGAATCAGTCATATACACACAATATATGTACAATTTTGTGCAATTATATTTCCAGTATTTTCTGAAATTCTGTATAGAAAAATATTGGTCAATGTACATGTATCTTCGTTGAATCATACAGATTTCCTGATATAGAATGAGAAGGAAACATTTGACTACTGGCCTTGTCAATAGATCAACAGATTGCTGACTCAAGTCTTGGGTACCAAGTTACCCGTTGGATGTAGCTACCTTACTGTATAAAAACCAGTCTTCATACATATACATATATATATATACATTTCATGATACTTTTTTGTACCTGTTATCAAACTTGACAAAAGTCCATCAATTATGCTCCCATTTATTACCTTGTCTTTCGTTTAATATATAAACAGCCATGACAAACCAACAGAGGACATCAATCTTGAAATTCAGCCAATCCATCATCACTTGGAGAGCACTTTTTTTGTTTGAGCTACGCTGACTTTCCTCTCTGGAGAGAAAGTCTTTTGTCACATACAACCTGACTAGAAACATTAAATCCAGGTTACATAATAGTTATTGCCCTGACTTCATTATCAAGGGAGTTAGTGTATCGTTGCAAGGTACCAAACTTCCACAAATAATCCTCGTCTTATTGTCAGGAGACCATTGCCTGTGGTACATGGGACTGAACTTGCCCCGTCCTAATCCTAGTCTTGTTGTCTGGAGACCCAGTCTTCTGGTACATGGGACTAAACTTGGCCATCTAATCCTTGTCTAATTGTCAGGAGACAATTTCCTGTGATACATGGGACCAAACTTGCCCATCTAATCCTTGTCTAGTCATCAGGGGACCAATTTCTGTTGTTCATGGGACCAATTCTAACTCCCTAATCCCTGTTGTCAGGAGACGCAGTCTTCTGGTACATGGGACCAAACTTGGCCCCCTAATCCTTGTCTAGTCGTCAGGAGACCAATTCCTGTTGTACATGGGACCAAACTTGGCCCCCTAATCCCTATTGTAGTGGCTACGCAGTCTTGCGGTACATTGAAAAAAATTTGCCCACGTAATCCATGTCTAATCGTCTGGAGACCCTGTCTTGCGGTACATGGAACCAAACTTGGCCCCCTAATCCTTGTCTAATCGTCTGGAGACCCAGTCTTGCGGTACATGGAACCAAACTTGCCCATGTATTTTTTGACGTAGTCTTTGGCTTTAGCCTTGACATTCTCGTTGACTTCAAGGTCCTCTACATGATGGCAGTGCTTCATTTCCTTGGCCATAACATGGTGTGTCAGCTGTGTAAGAAAAAATTCCAGTTATAGATCAAGTACCACATTCTGCTTTTCATGTAATAATGACTTAAATAATTGTTCATTGATTATTGAACTTGTTTCTGTTCATGAAGGTATTACCACCATATCCACCAAAATCTACCAACATTAACGAGGCCCTATGGGCCTGCATAGCTCATCCCGTATTCAATGCTCATGTCAAATACAAGGGCATTTCACATCATTGTTTTTAGCTTACGTCAAACAAGCTTCCTCTTTTGTTTTGACCTCATGTCACCTTGAATGCTGGTCAAGGTCTTTTTTCCACCAGTCTTTCATCATAATACGAACCCATCAGTCAAATACCAAGCTTCTAGACCTTTTGGTTAGTCAGAAGAAGTAGTTTGAAGTTTTTGAAAAATTTGACCCCTATTACCTTAAATATGGGTCAAGGTCAGTTATCTTCACAAACTTCAGAATAAGTCAATTGAAGATTTTTACAAATATGACCTAGAGTATAGGTCAAGAGCAATTCTTTAAATTCATTTTGTTGAGCTTCCAATCAGCCAACAGAGGACAGATGAAGGACATATGACAGACAAAAGGCCTATAATCACATACCAATTTGGTTGACTATGGTAATTAAACTTTATGAGAAACTGAGAAAAACAAAACATTTTAATGTTAATGAGGATGTTGAAATAACATTTTAGCTTTACTACCAGACACATAATGCAGCGAGATAAAAAAATGTCTCATTGGAGGACGATATCCAGTAGCAGAAAGACTTCCAATGTTTTTGTACGGTTAGGATTTTTGCAGTTCTACTACTTGTTTCAAATAAAAGATTTTTCTTTCATTTATTTTTCAAGAATCTACTTTCTGCAATTTTATTCTATCTATGAAAACAGCTAAAAACAGAAACCCTGGAAATTAAGTTCTTTTGTAGAAGTCTACCACCACTACTGCCTTGAGTTCTTACCTTCCTAGCAAGATGTTTGAAGTCTTCCGTGGAAGAGATGTGGCCCATCTTACAGTCGGGTTTCCTGTATGGGTTTAGGCACACGACGATATAGGAAGACATCTATAACAAAGAAACATAAATGATGTCAATTTGACGAGTCAAAACAATGAATTCCTGCTGGTACCCACTTAAGACAGGGTTGATTTATGTTATAGACTACATTCACAGCCCCTAACTATAGATGTGACAGACATATTCACAGCCCCTAACTATAGATGTGACAGACATATTCACAGCCCCTTACTATAGATATGGACATATTCACAGCCCCTAACTATAGATTTGACAGACATATTCACAGCCCCTAACTATAGATGTGACAGACATATTCACAGCCCCTAACTATAGATGTGACAGACATATTCACAGCTACTAACTATAGATGTGACAGACATATTCACAGCTACTAACTATAGATGTGATTGACCATATTCACAGCTCCTAACTGTAGACACTTCCATTTCTGACTGCAGAGAATTAGTATGAAGTCATTCATAATTGAAAGAAATATTTGCTAAAAACTATAAGATAATAAAAGTCGGAAAGTATACAGAGTGATTGATAAATATGAGTTATATTAAGAGTGTGAACAAACCTTGTTTCTGAACTGGTCTTTAATCTTCTTGGCTAATTCACTGGATGTATCTGCAGCAGCTGTTGTTGTCTGCTTAGAACTCTTCTTAACAGACTGTAAATATAGTTCACAAAGTATGTAATACAACAGTATTAGTGAAACTGATGAAAGCTCCCCTAGAACAATTTCCAATTTTCATTAAATTTTAACAAAGGGCAAGGTTCTGTAATTATGGGGTTGCTGGCCCTGAATTTGGTATACTGCACTTTTTCTGAGTATGACCAATATATACACCAAGTTTCATGTTCCTAGTTATAATGCATACAAGTGATGCTCATGACACAAAATTTGAACAAAGGGCAATAACTCTGTACTGAGGGGTCATGGGCCTTGACTTTGCTACAGTACCTCGCTTTGGTATGGCTGATGTATACATCATGTTTCAATATCCTTTTTTTATTCAAATACAGGCAAAGTAATGCCTCGGACACAAAATTTTAAGCAAGGGCAATAACTCTCTAATTAAGGGATTGTGGGCCCTACACTGGTACACTGCACACTCTCTGGGTATGATCAATCTATATTTTCCACCAAGTTTCATTATCCTAGCTTAAATGTTCTTAAATCGAAAGGGCACATGGACAGACAAGACGGACATGATGGGAATATTCAGAGAACAGAAAAACTTCACTGGACACAGAACTTTAACAAAGGGCAATTAATCTGTAATTTCAGGCTCTGCATTTGGTAGACTGTACATCCGCTTAGTAAGATCAATGTGTACACCAAGTTTCATTATATCCTCGCTTAAATGAAGGAAAAATTTTGCTTATGGAAAACCACTTTCTATCCAGATCATAATCAAATCTTCTGTGATTGTTTCCTAGGATTTTTGAGACATGGTTCCTTGAAGTAGTTAACAGCTAACTCACTGAACAACATAAGGGAGGCCCATCCAGAGAAATTGGGGTAAGGTGTTTCCCCAAGGACACAACTATGACAACACCAACTGGCCTGTTTCTCAGTTTCCTTAGATATACAAAATGCCACAGATAAGGAGCATTGAACTATACATCCAGGACCTTCACCATTGGTTACGTAGACCAACGTTCTACTGACCAAGCTATAGTCCCATATATACTGCCTCCCTCTTCTAGACTTAAAAGGGCAAATCAATCCAATTATGTAAAAGTTGTTTTATTTAGCAGATCAATTTCTCATCAGATTATACTTAAAGCTTGACAAAATCGAGAATCAATATAAATGGACAGATCATTAGAATTTCACTATGGCAAAATAAGAATGCAATGAGTGACATAGAGGTATGAGTAAACAACAATATGCAAACACGACAAATTGATATGTAGTGAAGATACATAGACTTTTTTAAGGCATACTCTTTCATACATTTGAAGAGATCTGTATAAAAGCTACAACTGACCTTGACCTCCTCCATTGGTGGGGTACACATGTCCATGCTGTCATCCTGTGTGCAGTCCCAGGTTGGTGTGTCCCACTGAGTTTGTCTACAAATACATTATACAAATCATGGTAACTATTTAGTCAGCAGTTCAGATTTTTAACATTTATATGTACAAGACCTCTCGATTAATACAAAATACATTTAAGAGAAAGAAAAAATTAGCTAGCCAGAGTTACCAACTTATAAATATCTTTAACCCACTTTTGTCATCAAATGTATTTCCTATGCATTGAATGGAAAGTGCCTATCTGATTGGTCAATAAAAGTATCATTTTTAAAAGAAATATACATTTCTCATTTTTAAACATATTAATTTAATGGTATTGATAGAATGCAAGTTTCACCACCATGAAATTCACTAAATCACTACAAGAAACAGAAGAAACACATGCATGAACTACTCAGGTCAAAGGTTACCTGGTGATAGTGTGGTAGTAATATGTCTTCCCATCAGAGTCTTTAGCACTTTTCCAGTTGGGAGGTAGTTTGGTTTGCTTGGTTTTAGGAGGAGACGGTGGAGGAGGAACATCTTCCTCCTCAGTGGGGGCGACCCCCTGGGCCATGGCAGCCAGCTGACTCTGAATCTGAAGCTGTTGCTGAAGGTGCTGTATCTGAAAAAAACATTTTCTGAATTATTGATCTGGGGCTACAGTAGCACCTGTCAAGGCTCTACCAACACAACCAAGACAAATCATCAGGATCAACATCTCTCTCTGATCAAACAATCTAAATTAATGATTAAATTCATAAAAAGAAGAGTTCAATATTTCACTGTGGTGAAAAATAAAATCTAAATGTCAAATTCGAAACAAACAAAAAAACTTTTTTTTGGTTTGCAAAGACCTTAAGAAACATTATTTGGTTTTCCCTGTAGCAATTACTCTACAGAAAATCAATCTCACATGTCTAATAACAATGTCTTAAGTATATTTTTGTCTTATAATCTAATCTTAAGTAATTACTGCTATTTCATCAAGAACTATAACAGTGATATTTAGAAAAACAAGACTATCAGTGAAACTGATGTATACTCCCCAAACACAACTTTATTGACCACAAAATTTTAACAAGTGTGAAATTCTGTAATTGTGGGGTTGCAAGTCCTAAATTTGGTATACTGCATATTTTCTTAGAACAAACAATGTATACACCAAGTTTCATAATCCTAGCTTCAATGCTAGCAAAGCTATGCTAACAACACAAAACATACACAGGACCATAACTCTGTAATTGAGGGGTCATGGACCTTGCCATTGCTACCCAGCACCTTGCTTTTGTTTGACTGATTTAAATATCACATTTCATGAATGTCCTAGTTTATTTAAATGCAGGCAAAGTATATTTTAACAAAGAGCAAAAACTCTCTAATTAAGGGGCAAGGGACAAGATATTATTTTTACAAAGGGCAATAACTCGGAAACTGAGGGATCTAGGGCCCTGAATTTGAAACACTGCACATTGTCTTAGTATGATCAATGTATACACTAAGTTTCATCATCCTTGCTTAACTGTGGGCAAAGTGGGCAAAGTTCTGCTCCGGACGTGAAAAGATGGAAAAAGGACATGGCAGTGACTATACGCTACCTCGAAAATTTTTCAGGGAGTATAAAAATATTATTAGTATGCTTGGATGAAAAACAGCTGCAAGACTTTGTATTGAAATGTATTAGAAATAACTAAACTGCTCTGAAACACAAACTATTTTAATCCTCAAAGAAAGGTAGGAGTAGAGGGGTAGTATACAGTATAACAGATTTATTACATAGATATTGTTATCACTCCTAAGTGGGATGTGTTATTCATGTGCTGTTTTGTAACCCATCACACAGATGTCATTACTATTTCTATATGTGATATGCAAGCTCAAGCACAACCAGGGCTGAAGAGGATGATCAGTGACCCCAGCTTCCTGAGAACTATAAAACACCCTGACACACATAACACAGATCTTCAGCTGAGGTGGTAGGGAAGGGTGTTCTCCCTACTCTCACAACCCCAGGCATGCAAGCACAGTCCACAATTACATGAATTTAGTCAGGTCAGAAAAGGCTACCACTACATATATCCTTGAATATATAACATGTTCGTTTCAATTTCAGAAATTTAATAGAATACAAAGGTCTGAAAAGTAAAATGGAAAAAAAACCGAACCGACAACGTAAACATTGGAGCTGAAGCCTTCAGAAAAACTCATTTATGACAGTAGTGTAAGGGATTAACTGGCTTTCATTTTAGCTGACTGCAAAACCCTTAAATCCTCGTAATTCGTCTGATTTTACATCGGCAGGAGAACAAACATCAAAATGACAAAGATCTGATTGTATTCATAGCTCTGAGAATATTATATCTTCTGGCAGCATGATTTTGGGAGAAATTGCGGTGGAAATGACAACAAATGTTATCTGACACAAGGCTGGTTACGAGTACAAACATTACATACAAATAGACATGTATTACAATGGATATGCAAAAAGGAGAAATAAACAAACAACCTCCAACACTCAAACAGATGAAAATAACAAAATATGATTTGATAAATGACCACTAAAATAAACCACAAAAAAATAAACAAAACAAAATGAGAAAAAAAATCACGAAAATATATGATATCTAATTGATGAAGGAGATTGATGCAGGTATAATGAAAATAAAGCACAGGTGATAAAATTTCTATACAAGAAATCAAATAATATCTTACTGTGGTGCTTGGATCAGCCATCTTTGAAAAATGAAAGAACAAAAATTATTTTATTTTTGTGTCTCAATTATCTTAATTTCATAAGAAAGAATTCCATACAAAATTTCATCTTAAAACTGCATATAAGTAATCTAGTTCATGATCATCCAATTTCAAGATCACATTCTCAATTAAGTTATTCAGTTATCTTAATTTTGTCTTATTGTTTTTTTTTTGTTATTAATTTATGAAAATTAATTTATAATAAAAAGAAATTAAATCTTAAGGGCAATAACCCTGGTAAAGATAAAATGACCATAACAATATCAGAACTTGGTCTGCAGAATATTATCATACAACCATATACCAAATTACAGTTCCATTTCTGTGTGTGTTACAGAGAAAACAAATGGAAACAAAATTATGACAGAATGACTGACAATGTAACCCTATATGCCCCAATCATGAAATGGAAAAGGCATGAAAAAAGTCCAGATGAAAGTGGATATAACAGTACTGAAGGCTAATAGAGATTGAACAGTAAGCAGAGAATCTGTAACCAACCTGTTGTATAAAGGCAATGCTCTGTGGATCTGAAGATATCTGGGTTGCCTGCTGTTCCAAGGGTAGTGTTGCCTGTTGTTGTTGTTGCTGTTGCTGCTGCTGCTGCTGGAAGCCCATGGCCTGGGCCCCAGTTGCCAACATCTGTGCCTGAGAAATACCCTGGCCTTGTTGCTGAGCAACCAAGTCTGTCTGGTTTTGGAATTGCCCCTAGAAAATGCAGGTTTTGTTTGAGAATAAAACAAAAGTGAGCAAGGGCTCACAGAAATATACCCCAACCAATAAACTTTTGTCTGCTGATGTAAATCTGTTAAGGGGATTCTTGAGATATCTTGTAAACAAGCTTCTATTAATATCACATCAGGTATATATATATATAGACCTTGGTGGGGTGAATTTATCTTTTAAACATGAATTAAATCTGTCTAGTGGTTCAAGAGATAACTTGTACACAAACTTTCTATTTCAAAAGTGGTCAACAATGACCTTTGATCTTTGACTGTTCTACCAAAAATCTTTTCAGGTATAGACATTAGGAGGGTGATGCTATAGTATAATTATAAACTGAATCTGTTTCCAGGTTATAGAAATCTAAATACAACAATTAAAACATGGCTAAATAAGGACGACTTTACCTCCTACCGGAAAGAAACTGTGAAATTTTACATAAGACTTAGAAGTCCATGTGTATTATAAAATATGCTTATAATCTAAATGTTATCACATGCTATACACTAAAATGTACAAGATATTTATATAAATCATGTAACACATATTTATCTTCCTACAGTAATTAATTTACATCTATACCAATAATAATTGATTATGATTAACAAATTTCCATAGAGATTTTTCACGACCAGAGAAGTACAACAGTATTTTCAACTATCTGAAAATCAAAGCATACTAGTTACTACTACAATGATAACTGTGAAATGGTAGTTAACTTCTTATATGAGCAATCAGTATCAGTCAATATCTAATACAACCAGCCATGCTGGAGCAAAATTCACCAAGGAGAGTTCCACTGTTTACAGAACCTTCTACACTCTGATTCTATCACCTTTGTGAACATTCATATCATCTTTTGTGTGGTATTATAATAACACTGGCCTTGACCTTAATGACCTTCACCTACCTGCTGCTGTTGCTGCTGCTGGTACATAAGCTGTTGTTGCTGTGTCTGCCCGCCCTCCATGAAGGTCATTCCAGACTGAAGTAAGGCCTGTTGTTGGGCTTGCTGCTGATATTCTGGGTTAAGAAGCTGTTGCAGGGAAGGATCTTGAAAGGCTGGCTCTGTGTTTCCTTCTGTAATAAATATGGGGTAATTTATTTCCCTTCCCATGAAAAATCAGCAAATAAATGGTCAAAACTGAGGTTTACACAGTAGTTTTTCTTGTCGTCACTAAAATAATTTGTCTCACTTGTACTATGGTATGTTATACAGAAACTTCTTATTGATAGAAGAATCCTTGACAGCCACTGTAAAAGCCAATGACCCAATACATCCAAGCATACTGCAGAAAAAAACACCACCGCATTAAAAAAAATATCACCATAGCAACAAACATCACCAAGAGGACCAGCTTTTCATGGGAAACAATCCCCTCAAAAAGAAGAAAAAAAGTGGGTTTCATTTGTTGTTTATATATGTTTACTTGCCTTGTTGCTGTAAGCTTTGTTGCTGTAGGTCCTGTAGCTGTAGGCCTTGCTGTTGTAAACCCTGCTGCAGCTGGGCAGCTAGCTGGGTAATGATGGCCTCGGGCAAGTGGCCCTCCTGGAGTAGGGCCTGAATGTGAAGCTGGGCTACTTCAGGACCGTACCCATGCTGGACAAGGGTCTGCTGGAAGAACAGGTAAGTAGGATCACCGAGAATCTGCTGCCTTTGCTGCATAAAGAGTTCTTCTTGCTGTCGCTGATGTTCAGCTACCATCTCATCATGTGCTTTCACATCAGCTTCAAACCGCTGTCGTCTTTGCTCCTTTGTCATCTTACGTGGTGAAGGTAAAAGTGTTTTTCTGAAAAACAAATATAAAAACATTCTTCTTATTGAATTTCTTGTTTATTTGTCTTCTATATTCAACGGCTAGTTCAGTATGTGCCATCTTTTGCCAAAAAATGTGTTTCACTTTTTTTCATTATTTGAAGAAAGAAAACCTCAATCCCAGCACACTTATTCAATTCAATTCAATATGAATATAATGTATGGTGTTTTACCTTCCATAGTATGACCACTCATTCCTCATAACATTTATTTTTTTCCTTGTGAGATCTTCCTTCTCTACACATTTTTTATATGGTGGATATTATTAACAGCATGATATCAACATCTATTCTACTATCCACACAAAAAATGCCTTTATTTACGAGTTACTCTTATTCTACAATGACTTCAGGGGTAACAAGACAAATTCTAATTCAAATTTAGGAGGTTGATTTATTGCAGAATGATAAATAAGTTTGTAATTCTACTAAACAGCAATAAATATGGGTGGGCTTATTACCAGGCCTCGACTTACTCCTGGAGCAACACTTATAACATCATCCAGGTTATTATTAATTTCTACCTAAACAGTGATATCTGTCACAGTATAAGTTCTGGACATTGAAATATATCATCACCAGTATCTCTTTAACTTCACATAAAATATTCTAAAAGCAAACTCATCTGCATTTCACCAAAACAAAACAGCATGAGAGTGAAAATGACCAATATTAAGTGGTGGAGTGTCCCCAAAACATTCTGCCAATACAATTATTTTGAGATCTACAATGTTGATTCCAGTACCTGGGCTTAGAAGGGTCATCGTCTTCCTCTGAGGGAGGAGGAGGTGGAGGTGGGCGCTTCCTCTTTCTGATTCCAGAATCCCAGCCAGCAGCTGTGAAAGATAAGTAATCTTGTTTCTGATAATGAATTTTAACTATTTCCGAGGAAAGAATTGTATGTAGAGTAGGTGATATCCACAGCCATACCATTGAAAAGATGTCTAATGTTTAAAAGAGTACCCATCAACAATTAATGATGTACATCAAGAGAGAAATTGAAATCAGCAGTTTAATCTGACACTAACTTTACCTCTTTCGTATCCTTACTTATCTGTCATCATTTTAAAGCTAGATAACAATTTCTGAGCTCAGATTTAAGATTTTATACAAACCCCTTATTCTGGTCTGATCCTGTAAACGTTCAAACTTCTCTCGCTGTCGCTGTTTGGTGGGTCTTACATCTGTTGATAAACAATCTATACATCAATTTATAATTTTGATTTTCATAATCATATTAACACTATGTTAATTTTTTGATTTGTCAGAACTATTCCTTTCATGTTTCCATTAAGCATATATAAATGATGAAGCTAGACTCAAGGTACACCAGTTAATGAGTGAGAACAGGTTGGATCTACCCCTAGATCACAATTCTAACCCTACTGACAGGAAAATAATGTAAAGAAACAAACCCAGCAGCTGTCGCTCAATTCGTTTCCTTTCTTCCACCTGCTCTTTTTTTGGGATCCTGAAGATTTCCTGCAGCACAAAAATCATTCAATATGACATTTAACTATAATTCTTTATTCATGTTTCATGTTTTTACTGTCAGAATAAATTAAAAGTGAAATAATGACTTACAGCAGTAACCATTATGCCTTCATTTCATGTTAGTAGTTGATATTCTGTTTTTTCATGATGCAGAGTTATCTAACCTTGCAAACAGGTGTGGTTGTTAAGGCATTTGTTTGTCATAAATTTGCGAGAAAACAACCTTATTTTCTCTTGTAAATTAATAACATGACAATCAAATATCTGCTCACTAGGGTACTTAAATCTGTATTACTAAGAGTCAGAATTTTTGCTGAAACAAATTCATGGAAATCCCCGATACTTCATCTGTAAAAGGAATGTACTTGTAATGACCGTTTATAATTCCAATGTTAACACTTTCCATGGTAACATCCCCCACCCCCACCCCCTAAAATGAAAACTGAGGTTTGACACTATGTCAAAGCCATCTTGTAGGTAATTTGATTTTGTAATAAAATATTTTATCTGCACCACGGAAAATCCAAATGCAAATATCTAAGTATGGCTCCTATTCCTGCTAAAATCTAAATCTTGCACTTAATAAGAACACAACCCTCTGTGAGTATGAAATAGCATACCAACTATTATACTTTATAATTCTCTGAAACTTTCAGGTAACACAAAAAGAGTACAAACTCAACGATAGACTTTGATAAATACAGCATGCTTGATGCATGTGTTAAATATATTGAAGTATTTTTAATTTAGCTACGACTAATCAAACTAAGAGAATTATACCGCTCTGATTTAGATACCTTGAGATCACTCCAGTGTTGTAACAGTTCCTCAGCCAAGGACATCACATCATGTTTTGGCTCTGAAGAATCACACTCTGTCACCACTTCTTTCTCCATCTCATCCTTACTGGTGTTTAATTCCAAGTTAGATGATGATGAACTATCTGCAGCGACTTGATCAGTTACCGTTTCTGATTTACTGTCACTAGAATCTGCAGCTGTCACAGTTGTTTCACTGTCTAAACACTTTATTGCACTATTTTTTTCTGACGACAATTTGTCGTCATTTTCTGTTGAGTCAATCTCTGGTTCCTGAGTTATCTTCTCTTGACTGTTAGACGCATCACAACTCTCAGACACTTCACTGTCTGTTGTTTGTGAAAGGGGATCTTGTTTGTCAATTACTTGTCTACACAAAAGCGACACTCCATCTTTCTTACTAGATCGTAAGAAGCGTTTCTTTGAACTTTCATTGCTGGGTGGACTATCAAAGTCTGTATATAATTCATTTCCCACGATATCACTGAAGCTATCAGAGGTACTAGTTCTCGACTCGTTATCTGAGCTTGATGCGTCTTCTAATGCAAATTTCACTTTCTTTTTACTTGATTTAGCCTCCTTGGCTGTGGTCATGGATAAAATTGAGGTAGGTTTTTCCTTTGCGGACGTGGGCGGAGTAGAAGGGGTAACTTGACCAACAGGAGGAGTAGATGATATCAAATGACTAGAGCTCTCGTCAGAATGTTCTCTCTCAGCCAGTTTCTGAATTATGGCTAAAATTTTACTGTCTTTTAAAATTGTTTTGTTGGTGATGGGTAAGATTTTCAAAGTAGAAAGAATCTACAAATGAAAGAAAAAAAAAATTACATTTTAATAAAACAACAAAATTTTGGTGATACTTTTTCATCAATCATACATCATAACAAATATTGTTTGTGAACATATCATATTTTTGGTAAAAGCATATGAAGTGAAGGTCAATTGAGCAAAAATATACTTTTCATTCTCTGAAGAAAAGGATCTATTTATTATTAACTCAATAAGGTTATCTCAATTAAGTTAAAGATTATGAAAAATATTCACAGAAATTTACAGTAAATGATTTCAAACTCCTGGGAATATCTTGTAATTTAACACTACTTATATCTTATATTGTAAAACACAACCAAATTTCAGATGAATTCAACACTACTTTTTGTTATACCATGCAATAACATTGTCACTCTGAATCCCCTCCTGCAAATAATCTGACCTTTCATATACTCCTGTATCACAAGGAGTTTGAACAGGTCTCACCTGCATTTTAACATCAGTTGCATCGTCTCGAAGGTCAACAATCCAGGTCCACAGCAGTTCCAGCCCATGATAATCCAGAAACAGACGCAGGCAGTTCCTCTCTGTCGTCACCTGATACAGATTGTAACAAGTTTAGGTATCAGTTGCCAAAATGTAAACCATGATTTAATATTTCAACATTTGTCCAGTGAAAATTCGGTTTTTGTATCAGCAGAAATGAGTGGAATGAAATAAAAATAAATTAATAAATTTTCGAAGTTCAAGGGCCATAACTCTGGAAAAACTCCTGCAAAATTAAATAGACCAAAACCAAATAAAAAGATAACCTCCATACAAAGCAAATTTCTGATCAATATCTACATCTTTTACAAAGTAAATAAGGGGAAACCAAATTATGATGGAATGATTGGGCAACACTATAAGCTTCAGCCATTTTATGGCAGGGCATTTTTATGAGCAGTAATTGAATCAATGAACAATTCCTGAATTTCATAATAAATTGATCATGTGATGAACATTGTATGTGCTTTAAACATGCTAAATTAGAAACACAACTGACACAAGATAAAGAAGTTTTTTTAACATCAAGATATAGTCTTAGTAAGAGCAAATGCTTGAAACAAAGAATATTACTTTGTGTTAACTATACATGTTTGTTTTTTACCTGCAGGACGTTGAGTAGTGTAAGGCGATGCTCTGCGTCCTCTGCCCGTACCATCAGACGACACAGTGTTAGTACATTTTCTGTGCTCATCAATCCCTGAGATGTCATTTCCTCCAGTTCTTGTTCCAACTGAAAATTGACTCATTGTATTTTTAATGTCACCAGAACACTGACACTTGTCTTTATAATAAAAAAACTTAAAGCCAACCAACAAACAAATTTATGTATTTTGAACTACATTATTATCCTGTCATTCTCTCCCTTACACCATGGACTAAAATATTAAATCATTGTATCGTTTTCTTACTTCATCCTCGAAGAGTTCTTGCTTGGTTTTCTTCTCCTCTTCTTCTACTTCCTCTTCCCGTTTGCGACCCTTTGTCACTGGAGCATTTTTGGTCGATCCGATGAATCCGCGACATTTATCTGTACCACAGAAACATTTCTGTGCTTCTTTCCTAAATTAGACAAATATAATAAATAAGAAACTTTCTTTAGTTAACCTCTACAGTATGACATACAATTGGATTTGGCAACAACGTCTATCATTCTCGATACCCCAGGGGTTACACTCATTACCACTTTCTGCCCCCCTGGAACCATCCTCGATAATCCTAGGGGTTACACTTACTATCACCCTATGTACACCTGAAACCATCCTCAATAATCCTCATATAACACTCTCAATCCCAAGCAAACACTTTCAATATGGAACTTTGGGTTAGATTCTTCACAGCAAACTCTAGTTTTCACATAGAAATTGATTTTCTATTTATAGTAACAGTGACCATTGACCTTTGAAGATGTAAATAAATTCCTTGCAACGAAGTACTGTATGGAGTTTGATCTTGATTGGTCCACGGGAACCCAAAATTTCAACCTGAATTATTTACTATAATGCAAAAAACCTACCCATAAAGCTCAAACTGGTAGTCAAACGTCAGCTCCTCGCCAGCCTCAACATGTTTGCGTGAGTAAAACCCAACTCTAAGAGCACCATTCACTGTCCACTGAAAATTACAAGAGGGTCAAAGGTCAAACACTATCCATGGAGGCATCATGGACCAAACAACATTTTGAACAATGAAACATGAGGCTTATAAGCTTATTTATTTTTGAATTTGTTGTTTCTCAAACCATTTAAACCTTATCCTTGAATGTGAGTAAAGAATATTTCATTATACCAAAGAATGACACACCATTACATGTCATATCTACCCCTTTTTTAGTATGGTTATTTTTAAGCAAAATGCAAAACACTAAAATTGATGTCTCCCTCAATCCCTATAAACAGTAACGAATTCCCAAGTTAGTTTTGACTAATAACATATAATAGCTATGTTGTTGTCATTTTTAAGACTGATGCATTGAAAATTCAATTATCAAAATTCACTTCAATATTTTGACCAAAAAATTTTGCTTTTCCCAAGGAGAGTGAAGAAATCTTGTGGAAAGTTTTACTGTACTTCTAGCAATATCACCATGAACAAAATCTAAATTGAAAAAATAACAACAAAGCCATGAAGATCTAGCAGTCCTTTATCAAAATTGAAAGTTTTTGTCCCCAAAAAGATTCAGGTAACCTATTTGGTTGCTTAAGATATCCATATTGCAATGCAACTTTATTTTCTGTTTGATTGGAATAGTACTGCCAACTATCCTAACTTTATTTTTTATGTAATTATTGCAACAACACAACAAGCCACTGACCATCATATTTGATTAGGTTCAAGATCAATATCCAGAATGCCAAGGATAAAATTGACAGATGGGCAAGAGAATCGATATCTCATACACTAGTCTTCAAAAACTGAAATTTTGCATGGCATTTCAATTCTAGAAATGACTGAAATCAGACAAAAGATTGTTTTCTTATCTTTGAAAACTAATAACAATATACCTTTTGTGTTTCACAATTGGGGTCACAGCTGTGGTTGATGAATCGGGAGATGTTCCCGCGTGTCGTGGCATCAATGACCTCATCAGCATTTAAGGCCATGAAGTAGTAATGTTCTTGTCCAGTCTTAGCGTACTGTTTGGTACGACTCTTGAACTGACGATAGTCTAGCACCTCTCCAACATACTCCATCACAAACTGACCACTGGAAAAGGTAGCACAGCAATGATAAAACTGACCAGACTTAATATTCAATTATTAAGTATGAGTAAGAAAATTGACTGGTCAATTTTTTTTTTTTTTAAATTGATTAAAAGAAATTGAAATTTTACATACAATCAAATTTTTTTTTTTTTTAAAATATATTAGACTTATAAGTTCTTAACCTTAATATTATTTCACTGGCTCTAATTATCTCTGTACATGTATATTTATTTTGTTGTAATTATTAATCATAACGCTAACTCCGCCGACGACTCTTGATTTGCTGTTATAATTTAAATATTCTTTATTTACATGTAGAATACATTATACAATATATATGTGTGTGTGTATGAAGAAAACAGTACCTCCTCCTCTCTACCCTCCTTCCTCTTTCCTTTTTTCTACCCTTTTCTATTCTGTCTGTCTTGTTTGTCTATTTTTCTGATGAGCGAATGGTATGTGAGCATCTGTGTGTGTATGTCCATGTAAGTGTAGTATAGGGAATCAGTTTTGAGATTCCATCATCGATGATCGGATATTAACAGTAAACCTAACATCACTGGTTATTATTTTGAAACCAATCAACAAGGTTGAAATTTCAGAATTGATTAGTTATAATAGGTTGTTTCCTGTTTAGACATTGATTATAATTAGGTAATCACCTACACAACACTATGTAAGTGTATGTAAGTTTGTGCGAAAGTTTATGATAATATGTTTATATATGTATTATATTTGAAAACTTTCAAAAATAAAAAATAAAAAAAAAAAAAAAAAATACAATCAAAATTTATGTAAAGATACAAAACACAATGTACAAACAAACGCTAATATTCTCTTTTGATTATTTGCCAAGTGTATTGCCCAACGGACAGCCTGGGTCATTTAGAGGAAGGGCTTCCTTAGAGCAGCTGGCAGCTATCACACCGAACAACAAATGGGAGGCCAGTTACATGTAATCCAGAGTAACTATAGAGTACAAGGTCTTGCCTAAGTGCCTAAGGACAAAACCAGGGCAGCAGACAATATCAGTTTCCTGAGAAACACAAACCGCCAAAAATCGCCAGCATTGAACCAAGCACCTCAAATTGTCACCTGAGGTTACAAAGGCTAATACTCTTCTAACCAAGCGGTCATGATCCAAAAATATTCTTTATAATAATTGTTTATTAACAACAATAGAATAACAATATCTAATATAGGAATTTAAGCCAAATTATGCAATAATGTAATCCTTGAGTCCATCCATTGTCCAGATCAGTAGCTATCTATTTACCTTTTGTCTCCAATCCAGTTTGAATTATTTTTTAGAAGACAAACCCCAAAATTATTTTTGGCCAAAACATGTATCTTTTTAAGAAATTCACAATTTTTATAAAACATCTGGAGACTTTCAATCCATCAAGAGCATTTAATTATAATAATCTGGTTTCAAAATTGTTTGTCAATGTCCCCCTTCGAGGGTGATTCAAAATTCTTTTATCATCAAATAACCATCCAATGCTAATAATTACGCATGTTTAGTTTCTTGTATGAACATGAAAAGTTAAAACTGGAAGTCCCAATGGTCTGGCAAATGCATTCTGATTTTAGAAATCTATTTTTCTGCTGAAAACACTGCAAGTATGAAGCTTATTAAAGAAAATCTTCATTCACATCTTAATAAAATTCCTTGAAGTTTGAAATAAAACATCTTTGTATACATCAATTGATACATACGGTACGAGATCCTCGTTTGTTTTCAGACCGAATCCCTTCCATGGGGTTCTGAAGGGTTCCACATTAGCATATTGTTTCTGAAATCATCAAACAAATTTTATGAATAATTCGAAAACATGGAAAACAGAACAACATCATGTGACTTTTTCAAAATCTAACAGTCCTGAAATATGAAATAAAAAAAAAAAATGAAATTTGTTAATGAGACTTTTCAAAATCTCTCTTTTTCATACGGGTCTAAATTCAGCTATTTTTGCCAAAACATTGTATTGAAAAATCGCTAATTTGAAGTTCCTGCTCTTCGATGATAAAAATATGACATGGCTTAAGATTCAATGTCCTTCTTTGAACACCAGATAGCGAAATATTAACAAAGGGAAATAATTCTATAATTAAGAGTTTTCAGGCACTGAATTTGGTACACTGTTCATTATCTTAGTATGACAAATGTATAATAGTTTTAATGCAAACAAAGGTATGCTATGGACACAAAATTTTGACAAAGGGCAATAACTTTGTAAAAGTTGTGGACTATGATTTTGTTATACAGCACATCGCCTTTATATGACTTTATAGACTGATGAACGTATTAGAAAACTATCAGGGCGTACTTTAAAAACTTACCTTCTGGATTCTTTTATTGGTACAGTAGTCCCCACACTGACAGCGTGACCCACTACAACAAATTAACATCCTTTTAAACCAGTGCTTCATAGTGAATTTTTCATGATTTTTGTTTAAGAATATATACATTTATCTGCTCAGATATACATGCACCATATGTGGTCAGACTGGAAAAAAGTAGCAATCGGCTTAACTTAACAATACAATATTCCCTCATACTACACTTCATCATTTGTCCTGGTACTTGTTCATTATCATTTACACAATATGTAAGTATAATTTTCAATAAATTAAAAGTAAAGAATTTTTTTCGAAATGTACAAGCACAATGATTCACCACGTTCAGACATCAAAATGGCATGCCCTGTTCGTTATTTAGTAAACCTATTGTTAGAACAGCTTAGAACTGTATTCGGTGCCAGATCTTTTGTAATGTGTTTTTGTTGGTTTGGTTTTTTTTTTGTTTGTTTGCTGGAATATAGCCCCATAGTCATTTTGTGTCATTGTCTTCTTGTAGTTGCTGTTGGCTACGTCACTGGTGACTAAGTCAGTGAACAGTATATGGGAGGTCCATTCCATGCTATCTAGAGCAATAGGAGTAAAGTGTCTTGCGGTACATCTACCTATAACATTCCTCCGTAAATGGCCACTTCATAGAGTGTACACAATCAACAGATGTTGAGACTGTTTCCGATTCTCTCTCCCCAAACCCTGGTCATGACTTACCATTCTATATACAGCATACGGTTAAGACAGTCCTCTCCACAAGCGACCAGACCCATCTCGCGGTCCTCTGGGGAGGCGGTACAATCACACAGCATACGTCTCACTTCCTTCATCTTCTTAGATTTCTTTCTGATATCACAAAGAATATTAGACTTAGTAAAATAACAAATAGGCATATGGTCAGATGTTGACACAGTATCAGATAGAACAATGTTTTCACCTACAATTAATGCCACCTATAATATTTCTGTGCTAATGCTTTCATTAAAAAGCAGTTCAAATCTTCCCCAAACTTGAAGTAAATGACTTCACTGTTAGATTGTGAACTTGCAAAAACATCATCTTCGTGAAAATAATCAGCTATACAGTAGTAAAATGCTGCCAAATGTACATGATACATAATTTGCCTAGAAATAATACATTTTTCTGAATCTACCAAACTTAAATCTCTATTTGTATGTTAATCAAATGAATCTATTTTATATTCCGAAAACTGAATTTTAAGAACACTGTAATGAATTGAGGAAAAGCTTAAATAGAACCATTCACTATGTTATCTAAAGTAAAACAAGTAAATGTAAGATTTTCAAAAATCTTAGCCACATTACCTTTCACCCATGTATATATTGTCTTCAATACGGTCAAAGTGAGGGGGCTTGTTCTCATCTACTTCCTCAACCACTTCTTCTTTCTTCTCTTCCTTCACTTTGACCTCTGTTGGTGTCGGAACAGGAACGGGCTTGCTTTTCTCTTTCTCCTTTTCTTTCTTTCTATTTTCTTTCTTGCTGGATTTCTCGGTCTTTAAATTAACGGTAGGTGAAATGATCAGATCTGACGAAGGATCCCAGGCATCATATGACTCTTTCTTTATATCAAGGTTTTGTTTAGTTGCTGTTGTCTCGTCTCCTTGCTGACTGTCACCAGAGTGTTCTGTTTTCTGACCTTCTGAAGACGTAGATGTAGGAAGATTGGAATCTCCTGGTGAAGATGGTGGCAATGGGGTCTCCAGCTCGCTAAACCGGAGCCACCTTGACTTGACCTTGAATGGACGACTTGATGGCGGAGGAGATGTTATAGTTTGTTCCATTTCTTTACGAGCTTGAAGCTCCTGCTTGATGCCTAGCTTAATTGGTACTCCATGAGGTACAGTAATGGATGATGGGAAATCAGTGTCACTTGACGTTGGTAGTGCTGGCGATGATGACGGTTGAGGAGGTGTGTTCTCTCCTGGTGACATAGCCACCTCAGAAACTTTTTCCTCTGAAGATGTTGGGACCTGCTTGAGCTCTTCTGGCATTGACATTTTTGCAAACAGTTGAGATCTTGGTGATGATTTACCGGCCTTTTTACGAGGTACAGGTGAAGTGGTGGACGATGTTGTTGGTTCCTGAGTGTCTTTCATGAGAGACTGGTTCCGAGGAGCCTTGGGAAACGGTGCTGGTAGCATCTTCGCAGTTGAGGACACGATAGGCTTTGAATCTGAATTGTCAAATGAAGAGGACACCTGAAACTTCTTTCCAAATAATCCCTGTAATGGCGCCTCTTCTCCTTGAGCCGTGCTTGGTGGGGTTTGATTAAACGATGAGGTAGAATGAGGTGTGCTACTGTACCTTCCATCAGGAATGTTGGGAACAGCAGAAGGGGGAACAACCTCCTCAGGGTAAAGTCTCTGTATAGGTGGAACCCCCTGTTGGCCTGGCGATGGTGGAATTGTAGAAGTCAGACCCTCAGATGGGTATGCAGCTTGCTGGCTGTACATGTGCTGCTGTGATTCCATGTATGGAGCGTTTCCAATGCCGGGCTGTGGGGGCAGGGCAGAGTGACCTGGAGTTTGTTGCAACAAGGCAGAAGGAGGTAGCTGTCCTTGGATATGTGGGTTCATGGTCAGACTCCTGTCAACAGACTGTGACTGTAAGGACTGGGGTGCTTGGCTTGGTAAACCATGAGTTGGAATACTCTGTCCTTGAAGTGTTGATGCTGGTCCTAGATGCTGTGGTGGAGGACCCTGGCCAGCTATTCCTTGTGATGGAGGTCCCGGTATCCCCTGGGGTGGAGGTCCTTGTCCTGGTATCCCCTGGGGTGGAGGTCCTTGTCCTGGTATCACCTGTGGTGGAGGTCCTTGTCCCGGTATCCCCTGAGGTGGAGGACCTTGAACAGGAATCCCCTGTGGTTGAAGTCCCTTCCCTATATGTCCCTGTGGAGTAGGCCCTGAGATTGGGACCTGACCAGGAAACTGCTGAAAACCAGGTTGGTTTGGTACGGGTGCCTGTGGGGGAGTTTGCTGATACTGACCCCTAAATATCTCTGTAGGTTGCGGTGTTAACTGGTGCATTGTGGGAGTTTGGTTTGCAGTATTTGGATACATCCCATCCACAGGAGTTCCTGTAATTGATCCATGCTGTGGATAGTCAGAGTAATTTTGATAATATTCTGCTGCATTTGCCTGTGAGATTGTTGTTCCTGTTGAAGTGCTTGCAGATGTTTTTTGAAAGAAAACGTTGTACATGCTTTGTACATAATCTGATGATTGATTAGATGAAGGTACATTTGACAATTTTTTGGCACCATCCTTTCCTGTGAATTTAGATTCGAACTCTAACCAGGAGTTGGCTGGTTTTTCAGACTTCTTTCCCTTGGAGTATTTATCATCTTTCTCCTTCTCTCTATCTCGTTTGCTGGATCTATCCTCTTCATCATAGTCTCTATAGTTTCGCTTATCACGATCACGATCACGATCACGACTATGTTCTCTACTATGGTCACGTGTGCGGTCTCGACTTCTGTCACGCATGCGATCATGACTTCTGTCACGTGTGCGATCTCGACTTCTGTCACGTGTGTGATCTCGACTTCTGTCACGTGTACGATCTCTACTTCGATCACGACTACGGTCCCGACTATGTTTGCTCCTTCTCCTGTAATGACGATCATCTCTTTCTCTGTGTCTTCTACTTCGATCTCTTTCTCTGTCCCGGCTACGATCTCTGCTGCGTGCTCTCCTGTGATCTGAGCTGCGATCTCTGTCTCTGTTTCGATCAGGTGTTCTGTCACGTCGGCTATTGTTTGGTGTACGTTCAGAATCTCTGTTCCTTTCTGGTGTTCGGTCACTTCGACCTCTCATTCTGTTTCGCTCCCTTTTTCTTTCAGGAGTTCGATCGCGTTCTGCACTTCGATTACGACCGCGTCTGTCAAATCTTTCATGATCATAATCATAATCATCATAGTCCCTGGAATGTTTGTACTTTTTCTCAACCCTTGGTTGATCTCGATCATCGTAATGTTCATTGTCCCATTCTCTATCCTCAAACCATCTACGGTTCTTGTCATCTCCTCCATCCTGGCTTATCTCGGTCTCGTCAAATTGATTCTGTTCCTGTTTAAAATGTTTCGCTCTTCCGCTGTAACGATCAGAAAAACGATCTTCAAATCGTTCATTACTAGATTGGAATTGGTCGTACTCTCTGTCTATGTAACGAGCTATACCTGGATCAAGGTTGTTTTGCAGTGCATGAATCGGTTCCTGATTCCAGGTCACTTCTTCTGCAACCATCTTACCACTGTTGCCAGTTGCCATGACTACAGGTTTTGGTGCTGATTTCAGTGTTGGATTTTCTTCTGCTCGTTTTAATTCCTCAACAGCTGGTACAGTACCTTGATCAGGAACACTGCTAATGACCGTCTCAATGGCTGACCAGCGTGATCGTGTCTTGGTTGGTTTGTCAGCACATATAACCTGAATTTTATTTGCAGGCTCCTCACTGAACCTTGTTATAACCGTACCAATGCCCTGTTCTTCATTTCCCTCCCCGCTCACCTTCTCTTCCAGGCTCTTGTCTCCTTCAGACTCTGACAGGATCTCGCCTTCCTCCATAATATCTTTCTTGTCTTTCTCTGGCAACCCAACATCAGGTAATGGAATATGACACAACACTTTATCAGTAAGGAGGACACAATTTGTTTTGGCTGAATCTTCTTTTCCAGCTTCTGCATCTTCAGCGAGCTCTAGAACACCAGTTTTTATGCCAGCAAAAGAATCTACATTTATTTTCCTAGAGGTAGCTGTTTCTATTTTCGTTGTTAATTCCCGTCCTATGAAAGATAACTTTCTCATCTTAATGGCATCCTCTGAAATTATCTCCATTGGAATACAACCAGGACTACTGATAATTGACTGTGGACAAGCTTCCTCCTGAATGCCTGTTGAATCAAGAGTAACTTCCCCTGACTTCCTGTCACCATCAGTAGAACCCTTAACAACCTCCTCTACATTTGATGTTTTGGATTTAAGTTCACCGAGGAAAGAATCACCTGGAGTTACATTTGCACTTTGTCCAATCTTTGAAAGTGAAGTTTTATTATCCTTAAATATTTCTGATGTATCTTTTAATGGACTGTCTACAATTGTTTTAATGTTCACTATGATTTTATCAGTCTTACGTCCAATTGTGAAAGGTTTTATGGAAATAGACTCCATCTTGACTTCATTTGTAGGTTTTGACTTGGCACCAGAATTTGAATGTTCATCAACATGGAGTAATGGTGGTTTCGACTTGGCACTAGAGCTTGACGATACATTGAAGTTAAATGACAGTGGTACATGAGTTTTACAATTATCAGTGACTGAAATGTTTCCTAGATCTTTTTCTACACTCACAGCTTCCCTTGTTTTGTCTATGTGTGACATCCCACTTTTACTTTCAATATGTCCTCTGTCTTCACCAGGTAAAGCAATGTCTTTCACATCACCAATACTAGGCACCCTACTTTCCCTTTCTGTACATAAACTATGATCTTTTGTGAATCCGGAGTTTTCATTATGACTAGATCTATATGATTTTTCATCAGACTCAACAATTTCTGTTTTAGATGAAACTTCCAAATGTGGTTCCAATTCCATATCACTTTCGTCATCTAAATCCATGTCTTGATTTTCATAATTTGTCCCTTGGTTGTCTAAAACTTTTGTTGGTGGAGCTTTCGATACATCTGGCAAGGCAATATTTTTGAAAAAGATTTCCTCATCAACTTGTGTATGGTACTTGGTGGTACCCTGCTTTCCACTGAGTTCAATTGAGGAATTTTGTTTTGATGTTGAGCTGAGATCACAATCCACAGGATCAGAAACAGATGGTTCTGGTTCAAGGATTTCCTTGACATTTCCAACTTCTTCATTTTGCGATGTTGTAGAATCTCCATATAAAGAGGGCTTAACAGCTGAAGATGAACCCACATCTCTTTCTTTGATAGTAGATGTTTCCATGTTACTTTCTTCAAGACTAGACGTACCCACATCACTTCCTTTGGGACTAGACATACCAGTATCACTTCCTTTGATACTTGATGAACTTGTATCAATTCCTTTGATGTTGAATGTTCCCAAATCACTTCCTTTGATACCAAAAGTACCCACATTACTTTCTTTCATACTAGATGTACCCACACCACTTCCGCTGTTACTAGAGGTACCCACATCACTTCCGCTGTTACTAGACGTACCCGCACCACTTCCGCTGTTACTAGAGGTACCCACATCACTTCCGCTGTTACTCGATGTACCAACCACACTTCCACTCTTACATGTACCCGTGTCACTTCCACTGTTACTAGAAGTAATGACATCACTTCCTTTGTTACCAGACATACCTACATCACTTTCTCCAGACGTACTCAGCTCACTTCCTTTAATACAATAATCTGATGCGTCGTCAATATCTGACACCTCATTCCTTGTGGATTTTCTCCATGAGGTCTGGTGAGCAACTGAGTCAGGTTTACTGTTTGAACTTAACTCCAATAAATCCTTAACCTTTGACCTTGTTCTGATGCCTTTTACCTCGATTTTGATACCTGTCTTTTTCATTTCATTTTCATCAGCGGCTTTGGTGCTTTCCTCCTCACAATTTGTGAAAGTGTCACTTAAAGCCTTATTACATCCTACCGGCACTTTAGAGTCAGTTTTGGAGACCCCCGCGTCACACTTAACAAATAAGTCACTTCTTGGTACAATAGGATCAGCTTTCCCCAGTGAGTCAGTTTTTGGTTCTTTTGAACTTTCATTAATATCGTCCACTTCCCATTTTGGTCCTGTTTTCAATGGTACTATCACTTTTGGAAGACCAAATTTGATTGGTTGTCTTGTTTCCGTATCAACATCTGCCAAGGCTGAAGGTGCCTTTAAAACCCTGCCTCTTGTCAATCTGCGTCCAAAGCTCAAACTGATCTTTCCCGACTGTTCCTTACTTTCTTCCTTAACTTTAACATTTTTGCTTTCTGCATTATCTGCATTTTTCTCAGCTTGAAGTTTTTCCATTGCTGCTCTCAGCTTTTCATTTTTGACCCCAATAAATTTCTTGTTTATTTCATCATCCTTTGCAGTTTCAGGCAAGGCCGGTTTATTGTCAGCCAATTCTGGCTGTGATACACTCTCTGTTTCCATAGCAACTGTTGGTGATGGTTCGGCAGAGATTGGCTTTACCACATCTGGAAGCTTTGGTGGCTCAATTGGAGGGACAGGAAGTTTAGGTGGCTCAGGAGGAAGAACAGGAAGTTTAGGTGGCTCAGGAGGAAGAACAGGAAGTTTAGATGGCTCGGGAGGAAGGACAGAATTCTTAGGTGGTTCAGGAGGAAGAACAATGGAAGCTAGGTCAATAACTGCCGGTGGTGTCATTTTTTGGTCACAATTTTCTAATTCTGTCTTTTTTTCAATCAGTTTACTGTCCTTCTTTTCTGGACTATGAGAGTCACTGAATATGCGTATCTTTATCCCTTCTCCTGGAAGCGCTATACTTGAAAGATCAACGGAAAGTGGACTAGTGAGCTTTTTGTCTATTTCCTTAGGAGATTTCAAATTCTTATCTTCTTTTTCGTAATCTGATAAAGATCCAGAGCGGTTTCTATGTCGACGGCTTCGTTTTGATGATCTAGTTTCCCTACTGCTATCCCTTGAATCATCGACAGAGTGTTGTGATCGTGTTTTCCTTCTCCCTGCACGTCCCTCCTCTAAATTTTCCTTGCTTTTTTTGCTGCTGGTCTGATCCTCCAGAGCCTCATTATCATCCTGACTTCGCAGTCTCCTTGATCTCGTCATTCTGCCTGCTTCAGACGTCGATGACTCGCTTGAGACTTTCTCTTCTTTTGACATTCTCTTTGATCGCCTACTTTCTCTTGGACTATTTTCTTGAAGATCTGATGTGTATGACCTTCTTGACCTCAGTGACCTTCGACCTGATTCCTCCTCAGGAGGGTCAGGAATAACTTCCTGAGTAATTTTTGCTGGCATTTGAGAAGTCACTGAGTTTATGATAACAGTTGAAGAAACACTGTCATCCCTGCTGTCTGGAATACTTTTCTCTGATGTTATCATGTCTCCAACATTAGAATCATTTCTTGAGGTGTTTTCTGATTCCTTCATCGATTGGCAAGAACTATCCTTGACAAGAACTGTGGCATTTCCTTGTAATGTTCCAGCAGATTCTAAATTGACATCTGAAGTATCGGATACAACTGCTTTGGAATCGAAGGAAGTTTCAATCAAAAACTTTTCAAAGTCTTCATACTCCTGAATAATTTTGCTACTAACACTAGGAAAAATGGCCTGATCATTATCGGATTCCTTAACAATACTAGTCTCTGCAGCTATACCCAAAGTCAAATCAGATACAGGTTTTGTTGTGCCTATGTCCTTACTAATTACTTCCCCTGAATATGGTATTTGGGTCACTGTTTCTGTGACGGCACTAACACTGTTACTGTCCTCAACACATATATTATCAATAGCTGGGCCTGCAGTCTGCTCACTGCTTTCTTTCCCAAGTGACGATTTTAGTATTTTTGTAGTCTCCGTTTCACCTGAAGACTTTGCTATTTTGTTATCACTGTCCAAATCCGAATCATCTTCAGAGTCATATTGAACCAGTGGACGTACTGTCACAATATTACTAGGGACAGGTGATCTGTTCTTTGGAGAATCATACGATACTAACGGCATTGTTCCTTTCATTGGAGAATCATAGGACACCAATGGTATAACTTCCTTCATCAGTGAATCATGCGATACTGATTGCTTAACTTCTTTCCCAGGAGAATTGTACGATACTAGAGGATTGGCCACAGAATCTTCATCTTCATAGTGTTTGCTTTCCTGTTCTCGACTCCACCGTGATTTTCTAGTAGATTCTCTCCGCTCCGGAGATGTGTGATATCTCCTTGACCTTCTTCGTCGTGGTTCATCCCCGTCAGGAGATTTAGTTCGTCTTTTATCTCTGTCATCTACATTTGATTTATCTTTTTCATTGTGCCTAAGATGACATTCATCTCCTTTTCTAATTTTACTCGAATCAAAATCTTCTGATCTACCTGTGGATTTCCTAATGTCCCTTTCACGACCAAACGAATACTTGTGGGTTCGTTCACCATCATAGTCTTTCTCATTATACCTATAATCTGTTGCTTCCTCTGATTTTCCTCTTCTTTCCTGTCTGAAGTCGGGCGATTGTTTCCGATAAGAAAATTTCAAATCATCCGACTTCCGAGAGGCTCTTCTTCCCTCAGAATTTTTATTCTGTTCACTGTCTTTGTCTGACGAATATTCTTGACATGACAGTCTTTCATCACCTTCATTATTACCTTTCTTACTGATCAATTTCTCCTCCTCTAATTCTTCCCATTTACTCTTTTCCTTGTTCTGTCTACTGTTCGATTCAAAACACCTTTCTTCCTCCTCATCCTTGTTCTCCAATTTCCTCCTTATATCAACGTTTCTGTCAGTTTTCTGTTCCAAGTTAACATCTGTATAGTTACTACCCTCATCAGCTTTTTCTATCTGATGAAATCTTTTGTCCTCAGAATTTTCTCTTCTTGTCCGTTCTTTGCTTTCTCTTAATGGTTCCATTTCCACTTCAGATTTTTGCTCAGAGTCCTGCTCAGCATCTGAAGCACTTGATGACCTTCTTGACCTTTCCCTTAACCTTGACAACCGTATACTCCTCTTCTCCTCCTTTTCTGTAAAACTAGGATGCACAGAATCTCCAGGATGTTTACTTTTTGGTTTTTCACCAAATGAATCCTTTCTTGACCTAAGAACAGGAGATAATGACCTTTCAGGTTCTGTTGCAGTCTTAACCTTTCGGCTTCCAGAATTCTCTGGTCGAGCATCAGGAGTCTTTGACCTTGATTTTTCAGAATGACATCTGGATCTATTTTTTCTTCTTTTATCTGCTGAATCAGGAGACCCTTCATCATCAGTTGATTGCCTTCGCCTACTGGATCTACTTTTCCTATCAGTCAACTCTGGTGAATTTGACCTCCCATGAAATTCTCTAGTTCGGCGACGTGAATCAAAATTTCTCGTCTTTCTTTCAACTTCTGGAGACCTTGACCTTTTCCTGTGATCTTTTGACCTTGATCTACTACTTCCTGAGTCTTTGGATTTAGGAGATGCTGACCTTTCACGACTGTCACGAGACCTTTGACTTGTCCTTGACTTGACTTCATATTTGTCCCTGTCATGACCACCTGTCTCTATTGTCCTGTAGCCTAATTCAGAATCTTTGTCTCGTGAACTTGTTACTTTGTCTGGAACTTTTTGTTCTGATTTTGCGGATTTCTCTTTCGATGATGATTTATTTAGATCATCTAATGGATCTTTACTTGAATCATCAGGTTTCTCATCATCCTCGTCGTCTCCAACTAACGCCTTTATTTTTAACGGGTTCGACTGGCCGGTTACCTTAGCACTATTCCTTAAGGCAAATTGAATACGACTGCCTGATGAAAGAGAAACTTTCGACTTTTGACCAGGTCTCAATCCACTCCTTAAAGTGACAAGATCTTTCTTCTCCTGTGTAATAACACCGTCTTTTTCTGGGTTATTTGACTCACTTTTCTTTTTCAGTTGAAATTTTTCCAACAGCTTCATGGCAGTTGTCTTGATTGGATCAATAGGTTTTGTCAGTGGAGAGTCTTTTGGACTATTTTCTGTATTTTGGTGTTGATTGACTTCACTAACATTCCCTTCTTCTGTAGATGGCTCAGATCTAATAGCACTAGGTTCAATGTTTGATATACAAGTGTCCTCAGGTACTGAGGCTACCTGCTGTTTGGCTGGCACACATGTCAATTCCTCAGTAACAGAGGTAAAAGGAGGAACTGGCACCACTTGTGGGGAATGTGGCATCGGTGACGCTTCTTCATTTGTTGGTGGCATTGGTGGCACCACTTCATCTGTTGGTGGCAATGGTGGCATATTATGCTTGTTTAGCTGCCATGGAGAAAGTGAAGAAGACTGAGGTGGCAGCGTAGACGGTTGCTGTAGCAATGATTGTGGTTCCTCTGGCAACGATGGTTTTGGTAATGTCGCTTCTGGTGGTGGTGGTAGTGGATTAGAGGATGTCTCTGGCTGCGGTGGTTTTAATGGAGCAGATAATTGTGTTGGGGTAGGCGGCATAGGAATGTGGTCCAGAGCATCAGGAACAGCACCTTCAATAGAATTTTCAGAAGATTTTGAAGGCTCTGTTGATGAGTTCTTAGAGAGCTCCTGAAGGAGCTGTTCCTGTTGTTTAGCAAAGTCTGGCAATTCAAAATCTAAGGGCAGAGGTGGCATTCCTTGACTGAACTCTGGTTGATGTTCTGACTGCTGGTGTTGTGTTCTGTCTTGCTGAGGTGGTAGCGGTGGGTTATTCTCGTATCCCATCATTCCTTTATGGTGATGAATATCACTATGAAATCCGTGAAATTGTTCCCTGTGATGTGGTCCAAATTGTCCCGAACTTTCACCAAACTGGCACTCCCCTCCAAATGACTTCTTCCCCATTCTAAATTGCATCGGCCCATCCCCTAATAGGGGTTGCTTTCTTTGAGACTGTGGACCTCCCATATTGTGAGGTGGGGGTTGCGGACCTCCAATGGTGTGCATTGGAGGTCGTGGACTTCCCATATTGTTCTGAGCTGGGGGTCTTACACCACCCATGTTGTGAGCTAGGGGTCGTGGGCCTCCCATGTTTTGACTGTTTTGATCTTGGTACATGGATCCCATTAGATCAGGACCATGATCTTGTGGATTGAAGTTTTGTGGGTGTTGAAATCCTGCCCCACGCCCTGAAAAATTTGGTCCTCTGAATGACTGTTGCATGTTCATATATTCACTATCATTTCTACCCCGCCCACCACGACCCCAACCACCCCGATGGACAAACGGCTGTTGTCTTGGAGTAAAATCTTTGTTTCCGAAGTGACCTCCTTGCCACGGTTGCCACTGGCCATCATAGTCCATAACCTGTTCTTCATTGGGGGCATTCTGTACTTGATCATCAGGAAAGAGATGAGGTGGTTCTGAATCAACTTCAATTGGAGTGGCCTGTCCACCTTTTTTCTTTTTCTTTTTCTTCTTGCGACCTGAAAAGAAAGGAAATATAGCAGAATTAAACAAGCTAATGGTTGTTTATTGAATCAGCGAAAAAACGTCAGATAAATGCCTGTTACTGTAACAATTGAACCAGATTGATGGGCCTTAATTCAGGAAATAATAATAAAAAGATCCCATTTTCAATTAAATCTAATATGAATCTGAAAATTTCTTAAACTAAAGGACCTTACCGCAGGAAATAATAACAAAGTGATCTTTTTATTTTCAACTAAACTTGTGGCAAGGTTCATGAGATTTTCTTGGCAAGCAATTTTAATGGTCATGGGTACTGTATGTAACTTTACCAACCAGGGGTACAGAGTATGAACTTACTATCATGAGGAAATGTGTATATCTTATCAACCAGGGTACTTTGTGTAACTTTACTAACCATGGGTACTATGTGTAACCTTACTAACCAGGGGTACTATGTGTAACTTTACTAACCACGGGTACAATGTGTAGCCTTACTAACCAGGGGTACTATGTGTAACCTTACTAACCAGGGGTACAATGTGTAACCTTACTAACCATGGGTACTGTGTAACCTTACTAACCATGGGTACTATGTGTAACCTTACTAACCAGGGGTACTATGTGTAACCTTAGTAACCAGGGGTACTATGGGTAACCTTAGTAACCAGGGGTACTATGTGTAACCTTACTAACCAGGGGTACTATGTGTAACCTTACAAACCAGGGGTACTATGTGTAACCTTACTAACCAGGGGTACAATGTGTAACCTTAGTAACCAGGGGTACAATGTGTAACCTTACTAACCAGGGGTACAATGTGTAACCTTACTAACCAGGGGTACTATGTGTAACCTTACTAACCAGGGGTACAATGTGTAACCTTAGTAACCAGGGGTACAATGTGTAACCTTACTAACCAGGGGTACTATGTGTAACCTTAGTAACCAGGGGTACAATGTGTAACCTTACTAACCAGGGGTACTATGTGTAACCTTACTAACCAGGGGTACTATGGGTAACCTTACAAACCAGGGGTACTATGTGTAACCTTAGTAACCAGGGGTACTATGGGTAACCTTACTAACCAGGGGTACTATGTGTAACCTTACAAACCAGGGGTACTATGTGTAACCTTAGTAACCAGGGGTACAATGTGTAACCTTACTAACCAGGGGTACTATGTGTAACCTTAGTAACCAGGGGTACAATGTATAACCTTAGTAACCAGGGGTACTATGTGTAATCTTACTAACCATGGGTACTATGTGTAACCTTTGTAACCAGGGGTATAATGGGTAACCTTAGTAACCAGGGGTACTATGTGTAACCTTACTAACCAGGGGTACTATGTGTAACCTTACAAACCAGGGGTACTGTTTTTAACCTTACTAAGTAGGATATTGCTTGTAACCTTACTAACCAGGGGTAGATTTAATGTCATCTGGACTGAAGAGCTCCATGCCTCCTATCACCCTGTTCTTAATGATTTCTGACATGTCCAGAGTACTGGAGTCTGACTGTGTACAGCTTCCTGTCCCTTCATCCCTGCAAAAAAAATAAGATTTTCAGGCAAACTTGATAAAAAGTCAAATAGTAAAACTGCTAAAATAAGCTAATTTGTTAATTTCAATATTTAGGTGGAAACATTTTACAGAGAAATGAATTTAGCAAAATTACAGCAAATTGTTTGACATGGTTTTCAATCCTCATACTTGCAATTAGATTAGTTTGATTAAGATTATATTGGTCTCAAACAATGGTTTAAATATAGTATATTGTTAAAAAGGATAACAGGAAAAAATTCACCACCATGTTGAAATGATGGTAACAAATATCCAAGTATTTGATGTGAAAAAAAGGATGTTCACTATATAACAAGTAAACCTGAACAGTAAACTAAGACAATGTATATATATATTACATTGTACTTAATTCATATGATAATCCTTGATTTAACTATTTATGTCATTTAAGTACAAACTTTAGTGGTGAAAATACTCAAATCATATGATAATCCTTGATTCAACTATTTATGTCATTTAATTTAACTATATATGTTGTTTAGGTACATATTTTAGTGGTGAAAATACTTAAATCATATCATGATCCTTGATTTAACTATATGTTATTTAGGTACATATTTTAGTGGTGAAAATACTTAAATCATATGATGATCCTTGATTTAACTATATATGTTGTTTAGGTACATATTTTAGTGGTGAAAATACTTAAATCATATGATGATCCTTGATTTAACTATATATGTTGTTTAGGTACATATTTTAGTGGTGATAATACTTGAATCATATGATGATCCTTGATTTAACTATATATGTTGTTTAGGTAATTATTTTAGTGGTGATAATACTTAAACCATACTGTGATCCTTGATTCAACTGTGTATGTCATTTAGGTACATATTTTAGTGGTGAAAATACTTAAACCATACTGTGATCCTTGATTTAACTATATATGTTGTTTAGGTACATATTTTAGTGGTGAAAATACTTAAATCATATGATGATCCTTGATTTAACTATATATGTTGTTTAGGTACATATTTTAGTGGTGAAAATACTTAAATCATATGATGATATATATGTGATTTAACTATATATTTAGGTACATATTTTAGTGGTGAAAATACTTAAATCATATGATCCTTGATTTAACTATATATGATTTATTTTAGTGGTGAAAATACTATATATGTTGATCCTTGATTTAACTATATATGTTGTTTAGGTACATATTCTAGTGGTGAAAATACTTAAATCATATGATGATCCTTGATTTAACTATATATGTTGTTTAGGTAATTATTTTAGTGGTGATAATACTTGAATCATAATTCATATGATGATCCTTGATTTAACTATATATGTTGTTTAGGTAATTATTTTAGTGGTGATAATACTTGAATCATATGATGATCCTTGATTCTAAAACAATAAACTGTATACCCCATCTGTTAACAGTTTATTATTTATCTTTCCATTCTCAAATTTCTATAAAAATAATCAAACCAAAAACCAGGAATATATTGTCTAAATTCCCCATCTAACCAAATAATGGCACCAGCAGGTTCAAATCTAAGAACAGCAGTAATAAAATCGTCAGGTCATCATAAATAACGGCATGAAAAAGTTATAAATCCAACTTTATAACTGACATAAAAATGTAAACTCTCACAATTTTTTTAATAATCATTTACATTATTCTAACTTTTGGTTCGTTTGAAATAAAAGCAGTTTAATTGCACATTGATATTTCGTCAGATTTCTGATAACCATGTGTTAAATTTCTTACGAGATTAATTGTGTTTTTGTGTCGTGGAGTGGATTGATGTGATTTTCAGAAAAGATTAAGAACGGAAATTATTAATGGAAATGGAAATATTACATTTGTATCTACCAGAACTTTTGGTAGATGTCTCACCACCATCATCAAGTGTATATTCATATGCTTGACCAGAGTGTTTAGTCTGATATAATCTCATCTGGTTTACACTGAACTAAACAGGAGACTGATGGTGAAATAAAAATATATAGAGATTACTTGGTCTGTGTCTTAAAATAAGGAGAGGGCTTTCATAGGCTCTGCCTGTTGCCCAATTCCTACTGTCAATACCACCATGACAATAAAATATTCTGAAAGTAAAAAAAAAAAGTGTCTTAAAACATAAGCTGTATTTTGATGAGAGTGAAGAAAAATTTCAGTGGCCAGCCTCTGGCAAGCCAATTTTGTCTTTTTGTCCTGAGCCAAAATACAACTTATATTGTAAGACACTGACTATATATTTCATTTATCCTGCTACATTGATTGAAAATCAGACAATCAAAACTTGGGCAATTTTGTTGTTCAATCTATGTTTACCTGACAGTGACTTTGCGCTGAATTTTTGCTCAATGACATACACCAAAATTATTTCTCCGCACAGAGATATAGTTCCAAACTTCCACGAATATGAGAGTGATTTCATGAATTTTCATAAATAACATTGCTCATTCCTTCATATAAAATCACTTATTTCAACAGTTATTTTATTTGTTAAACATAATTTTTAAGTAATTTCAGAAAGTAATTCAGTCGAAATGACTCAAGTACTAAAATACAGTGCAAAACTACATGTGGCACTTCCAATAATGGCAGTGCCAGTTGCAGGATAAAATTATATATGTTGTTTAGGTGCATGATTAAACAGTAATCTTATTTTAGTACATTTCACTCTGAAAATAACCCATAATAGCATTAAAAGCCGTTTCTGTTTCCTTTTTACTATAGCAGTTAATGTACAAATTAATCATTCACTAGTTGGCCAAAAGCTAATAATTGGCTAAAAGTTGATCATGCCAAATTATAACAGTATCAAGGCATAAGGTTTCTGAACTTCTCTTACAAATTCTGCATTATTTTCTTTATGTTGATATCAGAATATAATAAAATTGAGTGCACTTGGGTCATCATAAATAAGAAAACTCCCATCAAAACCTGTGTATATGTATTAGCTGTAGTATTTCAAAAAAAGTCCTACTAAGCCAAAGACATCGTTGCCTAAAGGCTTATGTGTGTTGCAGTACTTAACCAGGGAAACTGTAGAGAGGCTATGGGCCAGGTATTCATAAGGCAGTATAGTAGCTCTGCAGACACACTCACTATACACCAGTGACCTAATTCATTGGTAGCCAGCCAGCCTTGATAACAAACAGAACTCTCTCACTGACTGAGTAAACACAACAGCCACCAGCTGACACAGCAGCCATTACAAGGCTTGTCTGAAAAACCTCAGATTTACGCATCTGTCCTGATCTTCCATAATTCAAGTGTTGTAAGAATCTGTTGTACATATTGAATAATTGGCCTAATTTCAGGAGTATGATATGTGTATTTTACTACTGTAACCAATCATACAGCCAACATCAAACAATAGTTTCAATTTCTTATGAAAATTATGAATTGAGTTGAGACAAATCTTATGTTTCCTACCTCTGGCAAGCCAAAATGAAAAATTTCAAAATTTGCAACTCATTTCATAAATAACAAATGATATGTAAACCCAAACAAAATTATCTTTATCCCTGGATCTTTTGCATATATTACATTAAAATGAACTGTTATTTTTTTGATCAAAGTCATCTTCATGCTGTATAAACAGCTTTCATGGTGCCATCCTGATGTAATCTGTATCTCGAGATCAGAGCAATAACAATAACAGGATGCAGGAATATATTAATACATTATACACTGAAAATATATTACTGTAACACTGTATGTAACACATTATAAATGTTACACAACACATTGTAACACATATAAATGTTATGTAACACATTGTAATATATATATAAATGTTATAAATGTTACACAACGCATTGTAACATATATAAATGTTACACAACACATTGTAACACATATAAATGTTACAAAACATATATAAATGTTACACAACACATTGTAACACATATAAATGTTATGTAACACACTGTAACACATATAAATGTTACACAACACATTGTAACATATATAAATGTTATGTAACACACTGTAACACATATAAATGTTACACAACACATTGTAACACATATAAATGTTACACAACACATTGTAACACATATAAATGTTACACAACACATTGTAACATATATAAATGTTATGTAACACACTGTAACATATATAAATGTTACACGACACATTGTAACACATATAAATGTTACACAACACATTGTAACATATATAAATGTTACACAACACATTGTAACATATATAAATGTAAGTTTTCGTAATAAAATATAACAGTCACATTCAAAATATGATACATTTTTTTTTCATAATTCAGTGTTACACAACCTTGTAACAGAGCTACATTTAAAATGCCATATTCTTTTAACACACCATAACACATTGTTACATTAAACAAATACTTTGTTACATTACATCTTTACAGAGAGCATTTGAAATGTCATTTTATATAACATATCACAACAAATTGTCACAATTTAAATGTAAAACTTTTTTAATAATACATTGTAACAATCTGTCATATCTTAAATATAACTCTTTTATCATATATTGTTACACTGAAAAATTCAAAATGTGACAGTTTATACAGAGCAAATGTGTGTCAGTAATTCATTATATCTCCATAGCAACAGTCAGATCACATGTTCTGGTAGCTATGGTAACAGCAGCTGGTCGTGAGCAACAAATAGGAATCAATGATGATCTCCATGAAATAGACATGATTGAGAAGAATTGATGATAATTTCCAACGTATAAAGTAGAGATCTACTATCACCAGATTTCTAATTTTAATAATTTTCCTTCAAAACTAAGTACTGGTATATGATATTAAGGCTACCGTCTCATGATTCTAGAAGATTTGGAAAATTTTGTCTGGTTTTTGTCTGTTAAAAACATGAACTATTAATCAAAAGTCATCATGTTCCCCATTAAATGTTATGTATTAACATCCTAAGCTTTACTCTCCATACCCTATCTGAAGCATGTAAGCCTTATTGATTCTATCACTGTGTCTTGCCCCCAAACACTATATCTATTGGTTAATTCCATTTAAACTTCATACAGTACCTCAATGCTGAAGGTCTAAAGGTCAATGTACCTGTTAATCTTAACAGTAAATGTTCAATGTTACAATTACTCTACACAGTCCAATATCAATATACTCTGAATACACTAGAGTCCTGGGACGTCATACATGTGTCCTTAGGAAAGACACTTTTCCTTATTTACTCTATCTATATTCAGTGAGGGAGTCACAGTCTACTACATAGAGACCCTTACCTCAAAATGAGCCAAAGTCATTTTAGGCAGTTTCACCTAGTATTAGCAGCTGATGGCTACCTCATTGAACAAGATAGGGGAGGTCCACTGCCGGACATCCACAACAATCAGTGAATAAAGTGCCTGGCCGAAGACGAAAGCCATGACAACACAAATTGGTCAGTTTCTTAGCTGAGGATCACAAAATACCATGGTTATAGAGCATCAAATCACACAGCTGAAATTTCAACTGAGGTACACTTAGGTCAATGCTATAACCTAACAAGCTACCATACTCCCTATTGATTATTCTTTTTGTTTATTTCATAAACTCTCTCATAGATTAATTATTTAAAAACAATTGTGAAAATAATTGCAAGCACTTGCCTGATACTAGGAATAATTTCACCTTGGTTAATGTTTCTATGTGAAACTTATCACATCTTTATATCACATCTTAATATCAATCTATACAAGTGGAAATATTTCTGATTTAGCTTTCTGAAATTTTTTTATAGGGTCCTTGATTTCAAATAAATCATGAAATCAAATAGTGTAATTATTTTAATTTTCAAATAACAATTAAAACCAAAGAATTGTTCTATATTTCAAATGAATATTGGAAAAAAGTAGATTTATTCTATTTTACAAAGATTACAATTAATGTTATACATACATTTGTATTTGTGAAAATGTATTTGTATAGTATTCAAATGAAAACCATGCTGAAATATCAAATCTAAACAAAGGATTGTTGAAAGCTGAACTCTAATTTTCAAATTAATTATTTCCATATATTTTGCATATGGTATTTTTGTATATATGATATTATCATGAAGTAATTATTTCAATAATACAGTTAATGTATCTTATAACACTGATTTCATACCAAAGAATAATTACTCTTGAATGGTATTAAAATTTTTTAAATAGCCTTGAAAAGTCTTGCAAAAATGAAGCTGATGATGTAGTAAATTTATTTTTGAAATTTTAAATGAATAAATGTAATGAGTATGAAGTGGAAAAGGGCCTTTTACGAAATGATAAAGGTTTGGTTGCAATTCTCACAAGTTGACCACATGAGCATTTGTAGTTTAAAATTAAGGTTTGAATATAAACAGAAATTATTGTATTTACCCTGAATGACAGTCTTATTGCAGGACAATGAAATAGCATTGGTTTGTAATTCTGATAAACATTAAGCAGGAATGTGATGGTCTTGTTGCCATACAAACGTAGGAATATCTCGTTTTCAGAAACGATTCTGGCCCAACACCTAGAGATAATAATTATCAACTGGCACAGCCATTGTCGAAATACACCTGCCACAGACATTTTTACTGTATTTGGCAGTGACGGAAAACAACTGACAGAATTCTCTCTGAATTTACTTAAATACTACATCTAGAAATATAAATAGATGTTGAAATAAGTGGTTTTACATGTAGTAATGAACAAGTTGATTTATGAAAATTCATAAAATTGCGGTTATATCTGATGAAGTTTGGAACTATGTCTCCATGCCAGACTCACCATTTTTGTCTTTCTTCACCCTCGCAGAAATACAGGCTTTTTTTTGAAGACACTGATCATATATTCTCTATATATTCTTTTGAAAAAAGACTGAACATGTAATTGTTACAAATATCTCATATAATAAAAATATTTAATATCTTGTTTTGGATGACCTTGACCTAAATTTTTGTGAGATGATACTAATTTGTCACGCAGAAAGAAAGAACATCATTCAAACCTGGTCTCGGATTCCCCAGTCTCCGACATGTCCTAATACAGCAGTGATATACAGCAGGGCACTGCAGCAGGGCACTCCAGCAGGTAAATATTGAATCCAGCTACCTAAAACAAACAAGAACAACATCCAAGTTCTAGTAAGAAAATACACTGAACATCATCATTACGACTACACAAACCACATGCCAATGAATTAAATACCACATCATCATCATCTTTCTTCTTTAAGAATACTGATCTATACATATCATTTTTCCACATTTACAACTGTCACATGCTGATAATACATGATTTGGGATAATTTGTTGGCTCGGTTCAGCGTTCCCTCAACAATAAGGGTTAGGGTTAGTGGAGTCTCCGCTTATGTAGTAGCTGGGGACTAACTCACTAAACAAAATAAGAAAAGCCACTCGCATGCCACCTAGTGCTATCATGGTAACATGTTTTACTTAAAGCTGATAACACAAGTTAAAAAAATTCAATTCTGAGATAAAAAAATTACATTTCTTAGAATACTTGGGAGACCTCCCCTCATTGTATCTAAGGAATTGGCAGACATTTTAGTCCAAGTCTTGCTCCGAAGCATTTGGGAAATTCCTTTTTTTTTCTTGTCTCATAATGAATTTGTTTTAACTTGCATTGTCAGTTTTAAGGATAAAACCATATCAATACAGACTAGTCTACTTCTCAGCTTCCTGAGAAATACAAACTGTCACTGGTAAAGAGCATCGAACAACGTACCTCGGACCTTCAGCTGAGGTTAGATAAACAAACAATCTACTGACTGACATTTGGCAGCCCTACATGAACGATTTTCCCTCAGTTGGTTTAAATGTCTATCATCTTCCTTGTAGACAATCTACACTTTATAATAATTGTTTAATCCATACACTGTTGTAATGGTCATTTAAATTTTTTACAATGGAATATTATGAACGTGTAAATCTATTTTGGCACTATCATATGGGAGCACATATTTTTTAACAATTAAGTGCAATGATGAATTGGCACATTTGTTTCAAATGCTATATGAACAATTTTTACAGAACTTTTGGCTCAAATGTTGTCATTTTGTTTACAAGTTAAAAATTAAGGCCCATCAAAGTCTTGCTCTAGGACGAAAACATGACAGCAAGGACCAGTCAGTTTCTCAGCTGACCCAAACTGTCAAGGTTGAGAAGTGTTATTTTCATTTTTAACAATGATGGTAAAAATAGGTACAATTTTTAAACTGTTGATGTTGCTGCAGATTTTATCATAAGTAGCCAGATTTCTCATGAGAAAAAACAAGTGAATATTCAATTTCCTCTCAACATCAAACAAGAGACTGGTGGGTAACCCTACCGAACAATCAACTATATTTCATTTTCAGATGTTTCCAATAACTACAAAAATACCAGGATAATATTGATCTTAAGAATCAGGGCGGTATTTTTAGGCTTTACAGAAAATGTTTGAGTCAGATCATCAAAATTCAAATGCAATACAACATGTGACAAAGAACTTGATTTAGCTCTCACCACACCTCATTAAATAGCTCTGGTTTATCAGTAACGATTCTGCTGTCAGGAATGTGTGTATCAAATTGGATTTATCTAAAAAATAAACCATTAACGGATCAATATTGTAAATTGCTTTGTAGTTTTCACATATTTTTTTCATTGTAAAATTGATCTCCTTCAAATGACATTTCCCTTCCAGTTGTGGTAATGCATGCCCAGTCAATTTCAGACTTTCACCTAGGATGTGATAAGTGATGAGGATCACCTCCACAACCACATGGGTTATCCCAAGGTACTTCAGTTCAATCCAATCCGGGTCAACAACAGTGTTATTAGCAATATATCTAAAACTGATTGTTTCTTTTGGATTTGTCGTAAAACAAACAAGAAATCACAAATGATACATGTCCCTTTTGTAGTTCCACCTTGACTTATAATCATCCAAGGAAATGGCAAATTGTATACAGTTTCAAAAAAATCCTTTAAAAGGAGAAGATCTAAAGAGCTGTCAAGAATTTTCTAAAAATAGTAACAATGACCTTTACCCTACAACCACGAATATCAAATCAGTATGTGGTATTTTGGTCTTTTAACTGAATGTGAAGGTTGATCAAAATCTCTCGAGGAATGAGGCCTATTAAGGGCGGACACATATTTCCTAAAAATAGTAACAGTGACCTTGACTTATTTCTCCAGAAGTTATGAAAAGGAAATAAACTGCCATGAGTTTTGATATTGAAGCATTTATAAGTCATGACATGCCACACCTCCCACACAAATGTTACAGAATCCAAGAGGTATTTCCTAAATAACTAACCTGAAGAAGTCTAGGTAGGAAATATAATCATAATGGAATAAGCCCAGGGGTCATCCAGTAAGCTTAGAGGGTGGGCTTATCACAGGACAAGTAACACTGACCAATTATTTTACTGAATAGTATTACATATATATGAATACACTTATAACAAAACATGTAGACTTATTCTCATGTTAATACAATACAGATGGTACAGTACATACTAGATACAAAACAGGAAAACCCTCCCCTATGATCCTGGCTTATGAATCACTGAAAACTAAAAGATCACATTTGACTCAGCACAGAGCAACTAAGCTAATATGCTGGCATATGAGTCAAGCTTTCTGTCACACTAACAAATCAATAGGCTGTATATGTAAAATTCATGCGCAACTGGTTGAGGCAGATTCCAGCAGCTTCTGCAGAGGCAATTAGCAATGGATAACTAGCTGCCATTCTGAATCTGAACATCTCTGTTCAAAATGTTTGAGAAAGATTTTTAATCAAGACTCCATTCTCTATATCTATTTTCTAGATGATTCACAACATTAACAATATTTCACTCAAAAATTACTAAATGTCTGATGGTTATAACAAGAAAATAATTCTTTCATACCCGAAATGATGGAGATTTGGACAAAATTTTTTAAAGAAGTAAAAATACACTGCGGCCTTTCAGTCTTGAAACTTTTGGCGATGCCTTAGATGTTTTTTTTGTTTATAGGTACAAACTTGAAAAGTATCAGTATTTAATAATCTTTATGAACAAAAACACAAGTGAAAATTCTTCCTTATAATCAGCAAAGAACATTTTCAAATCAGCAAACAAGGTTCTATCTACAATTATACCTGACCACACAATGATATCACAGTCACACTGAGACCAAGGTCCAGCCAGCCATTAATAAACCAGCAAATTAATGTTCCATCTACATTTATACCTGACCACACAATATCACCGTCACACAGAGAAAAAGGTCCAGCCAGCCATAACAAACCAGCAAATTAATGTTCTATCTACATTTATATCTGACCACACAATGATATCACCGTCACACAGAGAAAAAGGTCCAGCCAGCCATTAATAAACCAGCAAATTAATGTTCTATCTACATTTATACCTGACCACACAATGATATCACCGTCACACAGAGAAAAAGGTCCAGCCAGCCATAACAAACCAGCAAATTAATGTTCTATCTACATTTATACCTGACCACACAATGATATCACCGTCACACAGAGAAAAAGGTCCAGCCAGCCATAATAAACCAGCAAATTAATGTTCTATCTACATTTATACCTGACCACACAATGATATCACCGTCACACAGAGAAAAAGGTCCAGCCAGCCATAATAAACCAGCAAATTAATGTTCTATCTACATTTATACCTGACCACACAATGATATCACCGTCACACAGAGAAAAAGGTCCAGCCAGCCATAATAAACCAGCAAATTAATGTTCTATCTACAATCATACCTGACCACACAATGATATCACCGTCACACTTGAGACCAAGGTCCAGCCAGCCAATAACAAACCAGCAAATTAATGTTCTATCTACATTTATACCTGACCACACAATGATATCACCATCACACTTGAGACCAAGGTCCAGCCAGCCAATAACAAACCAGTAATTTAATGTTCTATCTACATTTATACCTGACCACACAATGATATCACCGTCACACAGAGACCAAGGTCCAGCCAGCCCTTGATAAACCAGCAAATTAATGTTCTATCTACATTTATACCTGACCACACAATGATATCACCGTCACATTTGAGACCAAGGTCCAGCCAGCCATTGATAAACCAGCAAATTAATGTTCTATCTACATTTATACCTGACCACACAATGATATCACCGTCACACAGAGAAAAAGGTCCAGCCAGCCATTGATAAACCAGCAAATTAATGTTCTATCTACATTTACACCTGACCACACAATGATATCACCGTCACACTTGAGACCAAGGTCCAGCCAGCCATAACAAACCAGTGAAGCAGTCAACCATTAACATTCTAATTTTAGATCACGACTTGCAAAAACTTCCAATATATGCAAAGATGCAGTAGTTCTCATTACCTGATAACATAATTCTTACAATGTCCTTGATAGAATACTAGTTGTTATAATTAACACTACTATGGATAGGAATAGCATTCTCTACAAATTCAGACTATTTACAATCCTATATACAATCTACACCATTATGGTCAGTGCTTTTTTCAATTAAATGTAAGATTAGAAGGAAAATAAAACAGTTAAAGTTAAGATATCTCAAACTGGACTACTGAGATACCTTAAAATATTTTGTCACTAAAACACATTAAAGTGATATGTTCATACTATAATTCTATGGATTTCAGTTAACATGTTAACAATATCATATGTATGGTTTAAATTACCTGTGAGTGCTGTTAATGTTATAAGGAGAGGGATTGCATAGGCTATGCCTGCTGTCCGATTGCTATTGTATAAATATTTGTGACATTAAAATATTCTGAAAGGAGAAGAAAGAAGAAGAAGAATCAGACATGATTCAGTATCACAAAATAGTTTGAATGGGAGAAAATCCTATAATCATGGCTGGGATCTAGATACCTTTCAGCATGAGAGAGGAAATTATCAGACACATAAATCTGTTAGTTACCTGGTGATTTCTCTCTGGCTGAAGCAGTGTAAATGTCTGCAAACTGCCAACAACAAAAAAAT